GCCTTCATCTGCATTCGGGGGGGAGGGGAGGGAGAGGGAGGGGGGGGGGGGGGAGAAGGTATAAAAATATTCCGAACCGCTTCGCCGAATGGGCCATTCCCATGTAGATGCTCCTACTGGCAAGAGCTTCTATGGCAGGCCTTCTATGGCAGGCCCTCGGTGGCAGGGCTTCGTGGCTCCCATCCGACTGATGCGATTTACGACGCCTCTTGTCCTAATCCCCACGGGGAATCAATTGCAGCTCTTACCACGTCTCGCCACCGGGGTGCCATCCGTTGTCTCATTTACCAATATTATATCTGTACCAATTATTTACCATATCATTTCTCTGTAACGATTGCGAAATGTTGCCGATTCACCCGTGTGATGGCGCCGAGGCTTCATCATCCCCTCGCATTTATATCACGCGTGAACACATGTAAATATATGCATATTTCATGCGGAGATGGGAAAGTTTATCACGTTATTATTATAATTATAATTATCACAAATGCGGGCGCAGCCCTGATTCTCCCACGAGATATTGTAATTCATTTCGTAGCGGTTGGACTGCGATCAAATGCAATCACAATACATTTGCATGCGATTATTTTGCCGGAGTGTTTTTGGAATCGGAGCTGGGTGAAATGGCGAGACTAATTGCAATCAATGGTAGTATATTTATATTAATTGCTGTATGTTAATCTTATTACGTCAATAATGCTTTCTAATTTCTTTAACGTTTTACTGCATTAATTGTTTAATAAGAGAGTGGAAGGAATAATTTTTTATTAAAAAAAATGGTGTTTGTAGGTTCTGGGTAGGTTTATGGATAATTTCCAGACGGCGATTAAAATGTGGTAAGTGTGATAACAATAATTTCGTTTTGAACTGGTCAGAGAAATGCCTGCCACGATGCCACTACAAAGCGCATTTTTTTAAGATAATAAAAAAAAAGAGGGGAGTCTTGAGACCCTTGCTCCTCTCCCCATTCGCTCCCCATTCGCACAATGCAGCCGAAGCACAAATGGACCAGGCTTAATGATGGTCTGGTTGATGATCCGATGATCTCCCGAGGAGTCGTCTTTTCTGTCGGATATCGTGCTCTTCCGGGCGCGGCTTGGAGCATATAATTGGGATTTTTGTGATATAACTTTTTTTTTTGTTCAAATGAGAGGTTTCGCAATTTTGCAAATTAGGGGTTTTTTCCGGTTTGGGATTTTTTTTTGTGCTCATTTTGCCGTCATTTCATGCATCCTTGGTCTCATTTTCAGCTCCTCGCCACGGGGTTCCTGGTCATTTGCTTCGCCAAAAAGGGGAACCGATACCCATATCTGGTGAGTGGTTGTTCTGTCGCCATTTTTTTTTGCCTTGCCATTTTTTTTTTTGCATCCGAAGAGATTTCGCGAGTTTGACAGGAACCGGAAGGAAAGAGACGAGGAAAGCGGCTTACCGAGCGTGGAATCAAATTTTCTGCAAGAGGCTTTTTCACACAAGGGGGGGGCCCAATCTGCGTCGGATCCCCCCGGAATCTGGCAATACTCCAGCCAGGCAATATTCCAGCCAGTTTCCGGGGAATAGGCGGGAGAGTGACAGGGAAGGAGAAAAAATTCCGTTCATGGATCGATTATGTTCCTAATTACTGGATACGTAATTGGACCCTCTGAGTGTTTATCTTCGTCCCGGCAAGAAAAAAAAGGGGGAAAAACCCTTTCCTCTTCTTCTTATATATATATATATTTTTTTTTTTTTCTTAGAGGGTATCGTTGGGATTTTCGGCCCAAGTGTCGGTTTCTTCATGCTCAATTTAATTAAATAAATTGCAAAGATCAGGTCGAGATCAGGTCTTCGTAAGACACGATTTTTAATCGGGCTTCACCGACGCAAAAAATTCAGCGGAGAGGCTCGCTCATTATCCCGAGATCGGCCATTCCTGGCAGCATAAACCAACAAACGTTGCGAGGGAATGTTGCGAGGGAATGACGTGAAGGAATGATGCGAAGAAATGACGTGAAGACGCGATAGGAGACCCGCGAAGGAGCCGGGAGTCGTTGTTTCCGCCCCGATGCCATCTTCTGCGTTTGGCAAGGATACGAATGACCCGTCCTGTGCCAAATGCCCATCTGTCGCCCCCAGAGACATTCCCCGGGCAACAAGCCAAACATCTTCAACATGGAGCAACAAAAAAAAATTTGAAAATGAGAAATGAGGCTTGACCAAAAAAAAAGGGGGTCCCTCATCGTGTATGCACCGTGTCACATTCATCTTTTTTTTTTCTTCATCTTTTTTTTCCCCCTTCCTCGTTAAGTACCGGTCAGGTACTCGCTGAATTTATGGGGGACCCCCGTGGGATATTTTTCCCCGTCTGACCTCGTCACCGTTCGCCCGTCTGTTTATTTTCCTCCCCTAATGAGATGCTAATAGGGGATCGGTTGCATGCAAGGAGATCGGCTGAGATCGATCCTGGGATAACGGAGAGGCCTAATTCCCTCTTCGCATCTCTATGCTAAATTCCGATGGAAATTTAGGCTTTGCTCAGTCAAGCGAAGATTTTTTTTTAGCGTTTCATAAAGGAACTCGTGGTGATTGAGTTTTTCGTGCGGTATAGGAAAAAATTATTTGCAATTGTAAGTTGTAATTTGTAATGGTAAAGTTGTAATTGCAATTGCGATTGTAAATTCTGTTTTTTATGTGGACTCAGTTGAAGCTGAGCGGCGGGAGCTGGCTGCTGTGCGGCGTGGTGTGCGTGACGGTGACGGTGACCACGACGGTGGTCCACATGAACCGGCTGCAGACGCTGCGGGAGTGCGTGTACGACGCGGCGGCCCAGGCGTGCACGTGCTTCTCGATGCTGCATCCGCCGGCGGAGTCCATCCCGATGCCGCTGCCCATGCCGGATCCGGACTCGCAGCCGCAAGGTATTGTCACGGATGAAGTTTAATTAAATGTATTTTTATTATATATATATATATATTTTATTTATTTATTTATTTATTTA